AGGGGTTTCTTGGAGACGTGACCTGGATGTGGCTAAACGGGATTCTCACCTCTATGTAAATTTGACATGTCCAATTGTCATGAGATTTTTTTGTCTTTCGTGCGTGTGCAAAGGTGTCCATTTGTTTGCCATGAACCTGTCTGAGACTGAACTATGACTCGTGAACAGCTGGTACCGTTGTTTCTAATGTTGTCTTACTCGTTTCTGCTGTTTGTAGGGATGAGATTCGAATTATTTTGTTATGTGAACAATATAGATTTCATTCTTATTCTGAATACAAATAATATTATCTAAATTGACCACGTTCACACTGCAAAGGCAGCTTCGAAAGAAAATAAAGTGACTGAAAAGGGAAGGTGCTCCGGAAGCCCTCCTGTCACCCGGTCACTGACGTGCGTTTTTCTGAAAGGCACAAAATACAGTTGTTTTGTCGGTATAAAAATAATAATTTACTAAAACAGAGAAACCCTCTCATTCATCGCTCTTTACCAAAAAGGTATTTTTTATAGAAGCATTCCCGTTTCGCGTCACATCCACTACCGGAAGTCAGCTCCTTCACCACTTTTGTGCCGTCGGATATACGAATAAGGTCAGGTTTTCTTAGTTAAGGCTTAGTTTCAGGATTTCTTTTGATAATGCATGTTTTTATAGTCATTAGGGGGGTTTCAGGGGGTCTCCCCCTCCCTCGTGTAGGTGTAAGCGGGAGTGTGGAGGAACCGTTAAGAGACTTGGGGAGTGTATGGGGAGTGTGTTGGGAGTGTGTGTGGTGAGTGTGTGGGGAGTGTGTGGTGTGTGTGTGGGGTGAGTGTATGGTGAGTGTGTGGGGAGTGTGTGGGGTGAGTGTGTGGGGAGTGTGTGTGGTGAGTGTGTGGTGTGTGTGTGAGGGGAGTGTGTGCTGAGTGTGTGGGGAGTGTGTGCTGAGTGTGTGTGGGGAGTGTGTGGAGGAACTGTTGAAAGACAGGGCTTTGTTTCCTTTTCAATTTTTTTCAATTTCATTATTTTAAAAACATTGGTATCTCATCGTCATCTTTTCTATGGGAGAATGGGAGGGACTGAAGCTTACAGACAGACCAACCGACGAACGGACATACTCGACAGACAGACAGACAAACGGACAGACAGACAGAAGCACCTCATCTATGTGATGGAAAAAAGTCTAGCTGATTACCCCCCCCCCCCCGTGTCTATTGATCTCACAGCTGTCTTGTGACTCCAGGGATGTGCTGGGAACACTTATTACACCTATTTTCCCCAACCTCTTCGCATCCTTGCCCCCTCCCCCCCCCTTTTCCGATCCCTCTTCCTCCTCCTTACCTTCCTCTTCCTCCTCCTTACCTTCCTCTTCCTCCTCCTTACATTCCTGGTGTGTGTGTGTCTTTGTGTGTGTGTCTGTGTGTGTGTATGATAGAAAGATAGGTTAGATACACGGGGAGAGGGAGAGAGAGAGAGAGAGAGAGA